TTTATAGGCTTATATACTGAGTGTCATTCCGACAACCACTACAACCTTATACAATTTGCAGAGATAAAGTGTAGAGACACTCAAAAACATAGCTCAATGCAGCGTATGTGATGCCTGAGAGCTTAATAGAATTATTCCGGTTAGAAAGGACATCGCTGTATCTCTAAAATGGCTCAAAAAAGCAGCAGCCAGAATCATATGTAGCTCAATACAACTCAAGTCTTTGTCTTCCAGGATCCTGTTTGTTGTTTTTTTACATTTGAGCAAAGACAATCTGAATGTGCTAATATGATTTTGTGAAACCAGACCAAGTTTGGTTTGGTTTGGCACAATGTAATTAAAAGAGGTACTGGAGGGCTTTTTCTGGGCTGTGCATGGTAAGGGAATCTTTTGACAATGAGGCTTAGCTGGTTGTGAGTCATTGCTCCACTTACAGGACTCAATAGCAGTGTTTACATGGACTCTGTAGAAGATATTCAGGTAGATCATAAGCTGATCCTGATTCCTGTTCGCAGTATGCCAGATAAGCTCTTATGGTGGTTCTGAGGATTTTGATGTAGGTGAATATTTAAAGTTTAATTTTGGAACTTTACAGTATGTACAAGCTCATTGTTTTACTGACTAAATCAAAGAATAAGGTGTATCAGTGAATAAGATACTATTTCTCAGATGCAAAAACCCTGATTCTTACTTGGTCCAATTCTAATTCCTGTGTTTGCTTGTATCAGCAGCTGATAGGAAAAAGACTCCTAGCAAATCCAATTAAGATTAAGAAAATTGACTCCATACAGTATGTATGGATGCAGGATGAGTGCTAATTAAACACACTAACACTTGAACTGGCAAATGAGCCACTATCTCAAACACTGTTAGCATGTAGATGTTATCGCTAATGCAAAGTCACAGCAGATGTCTTGCATACACAATGTGCATCCACAGGCTTATACAGTACATGCATGTACATTTTTAACACATACTGTAATCTGCACGCTCTACACATTCACACGCACATGAAAAGTAATTGCTCAACCACACAAGCACTCATGCATGAGAGCCTAAAATGGAACTGAGCAATTATTTATATCTGCATGTGCATATAGGGACACTCACTGTATCACTGTATATGCACTTTAGCTCCAGTCATCCCTCTCTTTCTTACAATGTCTCTCACATATATACACACCTGTAAGAGAGCTAAGATAGTGTATCATGGTCAGGCAGATATTGCTACATCAGCTGTTCTGTGCTGTTCATCAAATGCTGATACAGCAATATCTCAGTTTACTTTGGATTTCTCTCTCTCTCTGAATTTCTTTCTAATCTGTCTCTGTCTCCTTCACTTACATCTAAATTGCTCAGTAATGTGAATGAACTTTGGTTTTATTTATTTTCTATTCAGTTTCCATCTTTGGTGCTGAGCCCTCTTTGCTGTGGTGTTTTCTGCAATTCCCAGAGAGAGAGTGTGGCCTGTTCAGCAGTGTAAACTGCACTGGTTGTTGCTAAATATAAAACTCCTGTTGGTGGCCATTTTCTTTGTTTCCTCAGCCATTTTGGCTATCATGCTTTCTGTCTCCATTCTTAGGCTGTGTATTACAAACTATTGATTTCACACAGGTCTGATGTTATCTGCTGCTCAGTGAAGCTGCAATTGACATTTAAGTCACACACTTCATGTACATCATTCATTTGCTCGTCTCTTTCCGCTGCACTTTTTTGCTTTTTGCTTGTAATGATACACCAACTTTTCCACTAGCTAAGCATAAAAACTATTTTTAGATATTTTGAATAGTTTCCACGCAGGTTCATTGAAATTGCGTGTAAAAACAGGTGTAGGGAAATGTTCCTATAGGCAGATAAACTAACATAACACAAAACACACAGACTTTGAACAACCCACATTAGTATTCCTGCTTAGGTCTCCTTCATATCTAACTTACAAACATGAACACGTCTTGTCCTGAACCTTAGCTTGTTGAACTAAGATCAGTTTGAAGGATAGATGGCTAATTAGCTGCTCAGCTTTAACAGCATGTAAACAAACATACCTGCAAATGTCACTTAGGTCCGGTTAGATGCTGGTGTGATGTTTACTCTTCTGTACTTTTACTGCAAACCAAATCTACCTTCGGGTGCAAATACCTAACCTACTGTATAACACTGACGTCTAACTGTTTGCCCATCCCAATTCCACAATTCAAGATTGTTTACTTTGTCTATCTCCTCCTGCTGGAGCTCCAGCCTGCCAGCTGTTATCAATCAAACACCAACACGTCCCTCTAGCCATCAGCAAGTTGTATTTCTGATATTTCCTTTCCCCTTCTTTTTAAGAATAAAAACATTGACAATATAAAAAGAAAAACTCCTTGACATTATTGTAGACTGGAAAAGGAATAAAACCAGGTTATCACATCATTATTTTGTGGTATTTTAGTCAATATCTTACAGGAAATAGTATAGTATGAAATAGTATGAATTTAAGATTAAACAGATGTTATCTGCTGCTTCTTCAGATCAGCTCTCTTATCGAAAAAAATAAGATTTTAATGAAAGTAAAATATATAAATGTAAATAATGCATCATCCTTATACCTACTTTGCTTCTTTAACTATTAAGACTGTTCATTGGTTTGAAAATGATGTTCCAGTGTTGCATAGCCCCCCGGAAAAGAGCTCCAGAACTTAAGTAGAGACAACTGTAATTGTACAAATCTCATTCTCTTTTTTACAGCCTGCAGTTTTCCTAATGTTTTTTTTGTCTTCTTTTTTCTCTTTCATTTTCTCCTTCATTGCTCTTGCACTCATCCACTCCCACTTCCTCTCCTCTGTCTCTCCTGTCTTTAAATCTCTCTGCATTTTGCTGCAGTTAATTTTTTGTTTTTTTACGCCGATGACTCGAAATACTAACGATACCGGGGGGCAGCTGCAGACTGAAGGAGATCTCAGTCTTTATTTCTTTGTTGCGTGCTTTTCTCTCCTCAGATGCCCCTTGTCTGCCTCATAACTTTATCCTCCTCCTCCTCCTTCCATTCTAACTCTCCCTTTCATCCTTTCCTTTACACCTAATTTCTCCCCTCTTCTCTTCCCCTCCCTTCAGTTTCTCCCTTTCTTCTCATCACTCTCCCTCTCTCTCTCTCTTCGGTTTTACAGAAACTGCTGGGTAATCCCACTAACTGGAACAGCTCAGCTAATTGGACTTAATAGTTTCTGACAGATCCTCTCTCTCCTCATGCTCCTTGTTTTTCTAAATATGTATTGTTTTGTCACAATATTCAGCAGTATATCCCTATCTCCCTTGTCCTTCTTTCTTCTTTTCCCTCCTCCTCACTACTTATCTGCTCCTGCCTTTGCCCAGACCGTTCAGACCACTGGCTTTTCTCTTCATCTTTTTATTTTCTGTTGATGCTTGGTGACAGGCTTCCCTCGTTTCTCTTATTCTTTGCAACACTCAGCATTTTTCTGCCTTGGTATCACGAGGCATTATTTCATGGGATGTACAACTCCTACAGGGACAGTAAGAAGGCTTGCGTAAGACATATTCCAGGGCTCGTGCCTAGTTGTGTAATAGTCAAAACTCATATCCATACTGTCCACTCTCAGCACTTATTATACAATCTCCACTAAGCAATCTGTCTGTGTTATTTCAGTGTAAGAAAAGTATTGTGAACACTACATATTGCTTATTCTGATCATTAAATCACAAACAGTTTGACACACAGTCTGATCCATTATAGTCCCTCCCTCTGATAACATGGCAGTGGGAATATTTAAACCGTTTCTACAGCTAATGGACCACCCAGCACTGTTGTTAAACCTACAGTGGTTACCTACCTCCAACCATTAGGGCTGCAGCTCTATAGCTACCATTGAGGTAGGACCAAGGTCTTCAGTATTGCTTCTGGCGGTTCTGGGGTTTTAATGACCTAACATTCACTTAGGAACAACTAAAATGTGAAATAGATATTAAGGAAAATGTTTGGTTTTTACTAGACAGGGTGGGGTTGTGCTGCATTGGAGAATCTGGACTGGACTCATGGCAGACTTGGCAATAACACTGGAAGCCATTTGTTTTGCATGCATGAACGAGAGCAGCAATAGGTCACTTCTGGAGCTATGCAGGTAGCAGAGGGGACACTGGGCATGTACCCAGTATGGAGTGTCTCCTATCAGCCTGTCAACAGGGTGGAAGCTTTGGAAAGATATTTAAAAAGAGATAACATCAAATCCAAATTGTATTCGTCACATAGTAGAATGTGACGAATGGTATATTCCTGGTATATTCCTTAAAAGCTTTGTTACCATCACCAGAAGATTGCAAAATGAAATAGTTAAAAGGGAGCAGCTATCCAAAAGGTTAAATAAGAAATGTACAATAAGCAACAATAAGTATAAGACTCGTTTTCAATGAGTCTAACAAAAATAATTGGATCATAAGTAGGAAAACATTACGAAAACAAGTAGACATGTTTCCAAATCAATCAAATCGATATACTGATATTCCAGTATCACTGTTGTTATGAAGATGTAGTGCTAGAGTACTGTCACTGTATTGCCATCAGTGACAGAGGTCAGCAATTATCTGACTAGTGCAGCAACATCAGCAGAACGCCACAGGAATACAATGAATGTCAGATGAGCAGCCCTACATCCTCCCAATGTATCCTAATCCAAATGAATAAAAAAAAAAACACAGAAAGGAGATTATATTCCAACATAATTTTTTTTTACTAGATTAACAAGGAACTGGGTTGTTGAAGTAACAGGTTGTAATAAGATACAATAAAGCAGGTTTTATAAACATATAAAACTGTGGATATATTAAGCAAAATAACGATTAATGAATGAGACAACTGAATGATTTCAACAGCTTGTCTTTCTGTACTTGTTTCTCTCTCTGCGTCTCACAGACTAATTTGATAGTTTGACATCTCGATCCTAGCAACCTGCAAGAGCTGTCATTGTGTCTCATGTATTTCTCTCTCTCTCTCTCTCCCTCTTTCTCAGGAGGTCCTCCTGATGTGGGTAAGATGCTGGGTGGGGAGGAGAAGGAGGAGGACCCCGACGCAGCAAAGAAAGAGGAAGAGCGACAGGAGGCGCTGAGGCAGCAGGAGGAGGAGAGGAAGGCCAAATATGCCAAGATGGAGGCTGAGAGGGAAAGCATGAGGCAAGGCATCAGGGATAAGGTATGATGACAGTGACAAAATGAAATATCCTCATAAACCTAACACAAGAACCCAAGTCTGTCAGTCTATGAGTGTGAGGAACTAGAAAACACATTTAAGATTCATTTTCTCACACTGAATGCTGACAGAAATGTGAAAGCCAAACAGAGAGAAAGAAAACAGTAAAAACTTCATGTGAGACGTAACTTCTAAAGGTTTCTCATCTTGTCTGCGTGACAGCAAAACTGACCTATGTCTGCATATTACACTATTTATAGTTTGCTTTTATCTTATTTTTAACTTCTTCTGAGATTATAAAATAGATCAGTGGAGCTTCAGGAAGGATTTGGACGGAGATAAGAGAAGTAAAACAAACTGAGGAGCCTTGATTAAGAAGAAGAATACATTTTGAATGTTTAGACAGAAATGGGTGGGTCAGGAAGAGGAGTGCTTTAGAAGTGCAAACTGCAATTCAAGACAACCTTTTTACACAAAGTCTTCTTCAGTAAATACTTTAGGTACAACAGGACGTTAAATGTACCATCTGATATTTCTGCGTTGCGAAGCTGTTGTTAAGGCTTATACATTTTTTGTGCATATTTATGTATTTCATTTCTGTCTAAACAACAATAAAACAACATCCAGTAATGACTTTTGAATTCTGAATCAGCATTACTGGAATGTGTATTGTTTGCTTTGAGCACAGCTGCAGCCAGTGTAAGTTCATACTCAGACAGTGCTTGCTTTAAGTTCCCTTCCCCACTAATGTGAGGCTGCTGTGATGGTAAAGGCTGCAGTGTAACCACTTCACTGCAGAGACAGTGTGAAAGACAGGCAGTCTGTGGGTGGGGCAGGTCTGAGGGGAATACTGTGAATCAGCGGGATGAAGTGCGGCACTCCTCCCCTGGCTCCTCACCTCCTCTATTCTTCTTAAGTTCTCCCACAGGAGAACAAAGATTGAGGAGCAACTCCCGAAGTGCTTGTTACCTAAGGTTTCTGTCAGTTCCCTTTACAGCTTTATCCTGTTGTGCCAGATACTGCGAGATATTTAATGAGTATGACAAATGACAACGCAAATAGTGAATAAAGTTGTTCCATCCAGTTGATGGGAAACGTCACTGAGAACAAAAACAAAAAACAATCATATATTCTCTTTCAGGTTCTACCTGTATAATGAGGAAAGAATGAACTTCACGAGTTTCAGTGCAGCTTTGGTAGCAACAGTTTTTAAAGCTGGTGTGATTTTTGTTGTGTGCCTTTGTCAGACAAACAGATACTGAAGAGTTTCACATGCACTGTCATAGTGTGCACACTGAAAAGCAGCACCCAAGAGATCTACTCTGTTTTTGACTTATTCCAAAAATATTGCTCTGCTGAAAGGCACAGACAAGACCAAGATAAAGAGAAAGATGAACATGAAGGGTAAGCAGCTGTTGAAAACACAAAAACAGGAAAGAGGCTCCTATGACGGGTGAGACATTTTTCAATAGGATGAATGAGTAGCAGTAGGATGTTCATTATACCGTAATTAGGTATTGGAGTTATCGTAATTACATGTTTCCAACTTGTGATGTATAATTGCAACTGTCCTTTTCCTGAAACCGCAGATATATCTGACTTGGTGCTTCCTTTCACACACACACACACACACACACACACACACCGATCTGTATTACACCGCATGCATATGGTGCAAGGCCACAAGCAAAGCCGTGGGCTCAGTGCAAGTTGGTGTCAAGCCTTTCAAGTAAGGAGGCAATTCAGTGCTTAAAGCTGCCATAATAGATGTTTTTGGCCTCTCGGGGAGGGGGAGAAGAACTCCACAGCAAGTTAAAAGAACATCAAGGGAACAGCGGTAGGATATACAGCACACTGATTCTGCCATAGTGGAGACTGCAGGTCATGTGACACAGTTGGACCCATGAAGCAACTATCACAAAAGAAATGACATTTAGGAATTACTCTTTGTAATAGACATTTGAAAGACATGACCAGCTATGTTATTCTTATGTCATTCATATGCAGGCAGTGAGCTGGCTTATCAAGAGAAGGACTAAAATGTGCCTGTGGGCTCATCAATATCCCACACTGAAGAGCTTTCATTGGAACCAGTCTGTGGATCCAGTCCAGTTCTGTGGAAAACAGACAAATATTATTGCCTAACATAACACGTGGGCATCTCTGCTCCGAAGGCCTTGTTTTCTGAAAATACACACTCTCTGGAGTTCTGGGTGTGCAGAAAAAACCAGTGACCTTCATGGTCCTGGTAACAATAATAAACACGTGGCTGACCCTGACACAGTTTGTTTAAGTTTAGGCTCCAAAACTACTTGGTTAGGTTGAGGAAGAGATCATAAGTGGTTGGTTTAAGTGAAAGTAAGTAACTTTATTATGCCAGTTGACTTTTGTGCGTAAGTTTGTGTATTTTCAGAACAACTAGAGCAGTGGGCGTAACACATGCACAGTTTACAGTAAATGCACAGATACCATTTGTGTCAATGCAATGTTAAGTCCTGTGATTATTCTGCTTTTTGACCAACAGTACGGCTTGAAAAAGCGCGAGGAAGCAGAGGCCGAGGCAGCAGCCGCCGCAGAGGAGACAGCAGCCGGTAGCTTGACTCGACCCAAGAAGGCCGTGCCAGCCGGCTGCGGTGACGAGGAGGAAGAGGAGAGCATCATGGACACAGTGATGAAATACCTGCCAGGTCCGCTGCAAGACATGCTGAAGAAGTAGGCTAGCTCGCTAGCTAGAGCTAACGTTTTTCTAGCTTAGTTCATAGGCTACATTCACAAGGTTGGCTTCAGGGGTTTTTTTTCCCATCCACATGACAGATATGAACTTTGCTCTGTAAGTGCGTTAAATGAAGTTTAATTCGGTTTGATTTGGAGACAAATCAAAGTTTTATGGTGAAATGAGTCAGATGTGAAATGTAGCCATTAGACTAAGCTAGGTTGAGCGGCCAGGTGAACGTTAGCTTCACTGATGTTGGCGTTAGCTATGTTACACTATAATGAAGCTAGCAGCAAGCAGAGGGGCTAAAAACACAGTGTTAGATTGTTTATCCTTCTAGTCAGAAATGTTTTAAACTCCCTTTTTCTCTCCTCTGTGACAGCTGCAGAGCTCTCTCGCAGCACCGACAAATAACATCCCTGTTCACTCAATTTGTACATATAGAAATGAATACATTACAGGCCTCAAGGTGGGCAAAGAATCATAAAACAATATATGAAATTATTATACTAACTGTGTGTCTGTCTCTAAAATAAATAAAAAAAATGTGATAACTTGATAAGCCATATTTTAAAAAGGAAACTTAAAGACTACTGTTGTGTGCTCCTAAAGCTACTGTTTTGTGTTCGACCATGTCTGGAATTTATGTAAAACTTTTTGCACACAGTGTTACACATTCTCTGTCAGACCTGTTGTCTATCTCCCCCCCACACTGCCCCCAGTGGCCAACATCAAAGTGTAATGACATTCATGTAGTGTAGTGTTTAAAAATGTTTCTATTCCCCTGTTCAGTGCGTCTCCTTCTTGCGTCTTGCATGCCATTTGTCTGGAGTTTGTTGTGTGACTATGTACCAACTCACCCCCCTCTGCCCCCTCTTCTTTATCATGCAAAAAATATTATGGCAATAACTCCTAAGTTTGAGTGTGTTTTCACTACCATGTCGATATAATCGTTAATAATATTAGTAATAAAAAAAATGATATGTATGCATTCAGGAAATTTCATTTACAGGTTTGCAGGGTTTTCTTTTTTTGTTGTCTCGTTGTTTTGATGAAGAATGACCGTGTAGCCGTCCATACAGCCAAAACCTTAAGCTTTCAGCCATAAAACCAGAACTTACAGTATATATACTATTACTATCAGGATCTACTACTACTAGGGAGAGAGTACTGAATGACTATATGAATAAATAAGACATATGTATTTGTGATTTTTAAGCTATAGCAGTATTAACTTGAAAGTGGACTACAAGTCTGGATTTTGCATCATGTAAAGATTTGTGAGAAAGAGACCACCCTCCTGCAATACACGCACACACACAGTGAACTGAATGCTACAGTTTGGCTACTGATTTAGTTACACAGCAAAACCAGAAGACATGAAGCGATGCTTTATTCAGTTCTACTTACTGTTGGTTTAGGAGTGATTGATTTGCTGAGGGTGACATAGAATGCCATGAGCAATAAAGGATTATCATGTATGTTTCTGCCTGAGATTCAATAAAAACTTAAAACCTTGTTCACAGACATTAAAAACGTGTCATCTTCTGTTCTCTGCGATGTGAGGTCGGCTTTGAAACAGACAGGGAAACAGGCAGGTTCCAACATACTGTTCTTCCTCACTTACTCTGTTATGTGTAAACTCACATGTAGAATGTGCTAATTGTTAAAAACAACACCTATGATAAGTCAAAATATTTTTTTTAAAATAAAGAAAATTACACTTAGGTAAAGGGGGAAAATGTGTCTCAATCAAACATAAATGTGTTTAATTGGTGCTAACTGGTTTAAGAAAAGGCTACCGAAATCCTGCCATATTAATGAAACATTAATGGGGTACTAGATAGATAATAAGTTAATAATCTGTGGGTTTTTCACTGTACCAGGACAGACAAAATAACAGGAACAATAGAATACAATCTATAACTCAATAAAATGTAATGCCCATGTAGACAGAAAATATTTATAAAGAGTTTTTGCTGTCATTGTGTCATATAGGTGGTAAGGCTAATCTTTGAGACCCTATAGTAATTGTATTAGGCTACATAATGTTGCACGTGTTTTGCATTTTTGCTTTGAGCCCCCCTTGCAGCAATGAATATACTGCAATATTGAAACCTTCACTATAAAACAGCCAAACAAACAATCTGTTTCGTACCATTGCCTATTTTCACACAATGAATGAGCTGAATATTATTTTTCCTCACTGGGGAAAAACATTTAATGAAATCAAAGATGCATTTAAAGAATTATGCAAGTTTCACTGCATCACTGCATTTGTAGCTTTAGTCAGCAGAAGTGTAGCACTGCTATTGGTCTGCAGAGGGCAATATAGGAAGAGAGGGACAGACCAACTGAAATGACTTGGTGCATTTCTTCCATTTTGCCTCAGAGTGTCACTGTTGTCTTTATATGGGAGTATCCAAGTAACTATCCAACAAAATGCAATGTAAGTTAGAGAACAAAGACACTGTGCAAATGTTACTTTCAAGCTTTATTTATTTCATAAACAAAAATTCAACCAAAATAGGTGAACTATCTAACAAAACAGAGTCAAGCACTAAAATATCAGAAAACACGAGACAGGAGAAAAGACCAGGACACAGGAAGACTGAGTGGCAGGAGTCCTCATCCTCTTTTACCTTTAGCACACAATTACTTCCTGTTTTAGAAATGTTTACATCCATAATTACCATGTGTTGAACAACACCCACGGCACTGACGACAAAGTAACGAAGCAGTGATATTAAATAACATTAAATGAGTTATCTAACCCTTAAACATGCTGTCATTTTGACCTCTGAGCGTCAGTATTGGGTACTGTTGTTGACATCAAGGAAACATGGATGGTACACTAGGGTCAGTTTTACTTTTGAGTCTGCAGCTGGTAGTTTAAATATTTTCTTTAAGCAGGAAATACTGACCCATTTCACCTTGAGCCATTAAACAGAAACAAGAGTGCAGACCGTTTCCTGTCATTTTTACTGGAGCGGTTTTATTTTCAGACAGCAACATATTAGCTCTAGTTCCTGGTTAGATAGCAGCTAAGCCTTCTTTTTCTCCCTGTGCTGTTACATTTAAAGTTAGAAGAAAGTGCTGCACAATATACAGCAGTGTTTATCATTACCAACATGGGAGTTGGAGGTAAACAGGTCATGTTCTGCCCTTGATGAAAGGAACAATATGAACTCTGAAACGATCAATCCAGGATCAGAGTGCGATATTTCAGATGTTCAGCGATTGATTGATCTGATTTAAGACCCGTCACAGCTAACAAGTATTTTGAAACTGCAAAGAGTCTGTTAACATTTGTTTTAATTCTGTAAAATGAATCTGCGTAATCTGACAGCTGAAAACACGTTAGAAGTTTCCTGTGTTTCTAAATCTGTCTACCATGCATTACTGAAATACTCCAGACCTGGATTGAGGCATTAATGTGAAACCTGTAATACACAGTAAGTCAACAGTACCACCCATTTCATATTAAACCACACATTTTAGCTCCAGTAAATAAAAATAAACAAACACAAACAATCGACAAACAAGACCTGGTTGAAAGTGTAACAGAAGTACATTCGAATACTCGCAGTTACTTTGGGTTATTATAGTACTGTAGACAATGAATTCTATATAACAAGATGGTGTTGGTAGGGTATTTTACAGTGGGTTCAAAGAATATCTAAATAAAACCTGAATTACAGTTCCCATTCCCAGCTGGCAGCAATGCTCAGCAGGGACTGGTAATATGAATGCTGGATGATGTAGAGTGTACATTTTAATTTACAAAAGCATTTTTACACGATATTGCACTATCCAGCACAATCAATCCAAGTTATGTCAAGTATTTGAATGACTTAGGACTCTTTCCCGGGTCTGTCACAAATAAATATATTCTATATATATATAGCGACAAATCTCACAGTAGCCAGGTTTATAAATCTGTCCATTACTGAAGAATCTGTATAGCTTAGTATCTGCGGAGTGTGAGTCACTTAAATACTGTTTAGACCGAACAGGAATAAAGGACAGTTTTTAGCTCTATCAAATTTAAATGGAACAGTGGCTTTTGTGTATAATTATTAGAAAATACCTTGTATGTCGACCTTAGAGCAACATCAGAAACTTTTTGGAACAACAGTATTGACAACACAACTCATTTACAGCATAATAATAATAATGATAATTAGAATTCATTCAACTCATCAACAGAAAAAGGGATTGCTAAAAGTGTCCCGTCACTTTTCAATGGGTCCTCATGCAAAATCAGACCTCTAGCCCCCCTTATTAAGGAATCTAGACACTAGAGGAGATACCAAAGGATTCATGATGACAAAGTAAGCTTGTCTGGTTAGTTTGTACAAAGTTCTACAGCAAATGTTCAAACCTGGAGCCCAAAACAACCTCAAAATTCAAACTTTAGTGCACAAAAAATAAGCACGCTATCTCACCTTATACATGCACTGAAAGCTCAGGACACTGCTTAGTAATGCCATTGGATCCTTTAATATCTACTAAAAAAGCGAGTCTAGAAGGTAGAAAGAGTTCAGAGATCGCCTCTGAATCTGACAATGGCGGGCATGGTCTTTTGTGTGGGCCATCGGAGGCTGTGAGGCTGAAGAGGGTGACGAGACAGGGTTTGGAAAGATGGCAGAGGTCGAAAGGGAGCAGAGGGTTGAGGGTAGCCCTGGTTTCTACACATTCGTCCGACACTTTGGGAAGATGGGTCCTCCCTCAAGCCTTCTCTTTCTTACTGTGGATGGAGAGACACGGGAAGAAGAGAGAGAATGACAGATGAAGAACAAAGAGGTGAAATGATGAGAGGGAAGGAGGAAGGAAGGGGGGGGAAAGAAGAAAGAAAAAAATTAGAGAAACAAAATGCATGAAGGTGGTTCATCAGCTAAAGCACAGCAAAGGTCTTATTTGCGTTACGTAAGGAAAGCAAAGAGAGGCAACTGAAAGAAGGTCAGACTGAGAGATTAACAGTTCCAGCACTTTGTCTTCAAGTGGCAGCAAGTGGCTTTAGCAGGAGCTCTTGAAGGAAAAAACGACATAAGACAAAAGGTAAGACATTGATAAGAGCAGGGCTGGATTATCCCTCTAACAGTAGGGTAATCACAGGTGTTACCAATGATACTAATTTAAGTCTCATTCCATCTAGTGTAGCAGAGCCTTTCCAGCGAGCCAACATGCACAATAGCAGCAGCCTGACTCTGTATGACCTGAATGGAACGGATCCCTAATCAGTATTATTGGTATCGTCTGTGTTAAGCTTACTATTTCGTGTCATTATTGCACTCCTATAACATTGTTTCACTCATGGTGGACAATTTAAATAAAAACATCGACGCAGTAGAACTAGATATGTTCATTTTAATCCATGCATTCTTCTACCATGTTAAACTCGGTGCCTATATTACCCACAATGTAATGCAACGGTCAACAGTTCGGTGGAGATTCGGGTCCGTTATACTAGCACAACAGCTGTTATTTAACCTCGAGCTGCTGGCCTCAATTAGAGATGAGGAGCAGGCTCCAGAGATCTGGTAAGCTCTTCTTTTTCAAATTTAACTGATGTTGACTCAAGTGACATCGCTTGAGGCAATGTATCAGCCTTTGCGCACCTATCTGGAGTTTTACAGACTTGTGTGTAAAATCAGCGCAATTGCCCTTTCAGGCCCCTATCCTTTGACTTTATACTGTACTTTAATGGTGCATACAGTATTAACAAACAAATCTGCAATTTATCAAATTTTCACACAGTGAACCTGGAGAATTTGGAGTCAGTGAGGGGTTTAGGGCCCCAGGTCAGTCGTCCACTTTGCCAGGTTAACAATCCAGCTTTGGATAAGAGCAGTGTTTAAGTGAGAACAAGAGAGGACAGAGGTGCAGAGGAGGCCGAATGCCTTTGGATGATGCAGGAACAGTAGAAACAGACCAAGAGCAGGGAATGATAAAATTAGAAAAAAGGCCAAGGAGAAACAACAATATAATGCAGAATGCAGATGCAGAATACAACAGAAGACCATGAAGGAGTCTGCAGCTTCACAGTGGAGCCAAAATGAGATGCAACTCCCAAAAACTACTGTAGCAAACAAAAGAAGAGGGCAGTTTCATTCTGTCGAACCAGATTTCACAGTGGATGTTGTCCAGTGAGTAAGGGGATCACTGTCTTGGCTCAGTCGTAGGATATATGGCAAAAAACTGAGTTGGAAAGTTAATTTTATCTGCTTCTTCTTTCTTCTTTCTTCTTCTGTATTTCAGAAGTGCAGGTTACTTATTTAGTTTACTTATTACTTAGTAATATTTCATGTCAAGTTTCATCAATTTCATCACGTTTACTTTTCATTATTTTATTTCTGTTGAGCAAAAGTTGAGAACTCTCTGATTTATTCGATTTTCCAGACTTGGACTACTACAAGAAATAATGGCAACAAAAATATATTCTGACTATGATCTGGACTAGAGAGCAACAACAGCTAAATGTGGGAGGCACTGTCAGTGTTGTTTTCAAACCCGAGTTCACCAGAAGATGAAAA